CAGACAGCCATGGACGCAGAGATGGCTTCCTGGAAGTCCACAGGCACCTACGTAGACGAGGTTCCCCCTCCTGGGGCGAACATCGTCAGTGGCATGTGGATTTTCAGGGTGAAGCGGCCGCCGGGTTCTCCGCCTGTCTTTAAGGCGCGTTACGTGGCTCGAGGCTTCAGTCAGCGAGAGGGAGTAGACTTCTTTCAGACCTTCTCCCCCACCCCGAAGATGACCACTCTTCGGGTGCTGCTGCACATAGCCGCTCACCGCGACTACGAGCTTCACTCTCTTGACTTCAGCACTGCTTTCTTGCAGGGCAGCCTGCACGAGGAGATCTGGCTGCGCCGCCCACCTGGCTTTACTGGGTCAGTTCCTCCTGGCACCCAGTGGAGGCTTCAGCGGCCGGTCTACGGTCTCCGCCAGGCGCCACGTGAGTGGCACGACACACTGAGGACGACACTTGCGGCTCTTGGGTTCGCTCCCTCTACTGCTGACCCGTCGCTGTTTCTACGCACCGACACCTCGCTGCCGCCGTTCTACATCCTCGTGTACGTCGACGACTTGGTCTTTGCCACTGCTGACACCGCGGCACTCGCCCACGTGAAGTCGGAGCTGCAGAGGAGACACACGTGCACAGACCTGGGTGAGCTGACGAGCTATCTTGGCTTGCGGATCACCCGGGACAGAGCACGACGCACCATCACCCTGACTCAGTCACACATGGTGCAGCAGGTTCTCCAGCGCTTCCGCTTCACGTACTCCTCGCCTCAGTCCACTCCTCTGCCTACCGGTCACTCGCTCTCAGCTCTGCCTTCGGATGAGTCCGTAGAGCCGAGTGGCCCGTATCCAGAGCTTGTGGGCTGCCTCATGTACCTGATGACCTGCACTCGACCTGACCTTGCATACCCTCTTAGCATCCTAGCACGCTATGTCGCTCCTGGCCGTCACCGGAAGGAGCACATGGATGCTGCTAAGAGGGTGTTGCGCTACTTGTGCAGTACGTCGGGCATGGGGCTTGTGCTTGGAGGGCGAGACCGGGTTGTTCTCACAGGGCACTCAGACGCTTCTTGGGCAGACGACCAGGCTACTCAGCGGTCGTCCCAGGGTTACACCTTCAGCCTTGGCTCTGGCTCAGTTTCTTGGCGTTCTACTCGCTCTTCTTCTGTTCTCAGCTCCAGTTGTGAGGCTGAGATCTACGCCACAGCCATGGCTGCTCAGGAGCTACGCTGGCTGACCTACCTGCTGACCGACCTCGGAGAGCGGCCTCGTTCTCCTCCAGTGCTGTACGTCGACAACAAGGCTGCCATTGCCTTGTGTGAGGAGCACAGACTGGAGCACAGAACGAAGCACATCGCTCTGCGGTACTTCCTTGCTCGAGAGTTGCAGCAGCGTGGTCAGCTTTGTCTGCGTTACGTGGCCACGGAGGCCAACACTGCTGATGTGTTCACCAAGGCGCTTCAGCCTTGTGACCATCAGCGCTTTTGCACTCTGTTAGGCCTTGTACCTACTGGGCCTCACTTGCTTACCTCTTGACCTTACTTGTACTGTGATCACTGTATATATATCCCTACTTGTTTACTTTTGCTAGGTTGTGATCACTGTATCTCTTGCTTTGTTATAAACCTGCATGTGAACTGGTCTTGTGACCGCTTGCTTGTGCTCGGAATTTGTGTGGAATCCTTGAGATCCACCCTGAGCTTGCTTTGCTTTGCTTTGACTGGTCTTGTGACCCTGTGGTTGTCTCCCACTGCGCCTATGGGGGTGTGTCAAACATTGCATGTTTATATTGTCTAGGCTGTAGTGGGTTACACCTTAGGGGGTACACAAAGTTAGGGTTTCCTACTTGTACCAAACTCTGTGCTAGTTCATTCATTCCTGCTCAGTTATTTCTGACAGTGATGACGGTTTCGCCAGTCATGCACCGTCAAGCACGTAATGTCGTTCCGCAGGTTGACTTTACGAAAACATGTTGAGCTACATGCGCCCACGCGCCAGATTTCGCAGTTGAGCGAGGTCGTCGACCAATGCCCCTCAACCGAGGTCGTCGACCAGCGTCCTCTGCAAGCTCATTGTCCAGCGTCCTCTGCAAGCTCATCGTCTAGCGTCCTCTGCGACGATGCTTGACCAACACATCCGCAGGACCTTGTCGACCAAACAGTTTCGTCAACCTCCGCGACGAGTTCTGGAGGGGGTCGACGTTGAGTTCTGCGGATGGTCGAAGTCAACTTACGCGGACAGGTCGATGTTGAACTCTGCGGACAAGTCGACGTCGAACTCTGCGGGCTGTCAACGTCAACTTCGGTGCGCAGTCTGCGTCGACTTCTGCACGCCCCCGGCTGCGAAGTCTGCTTCGCCTAAGCGTAGGCGAGGCCATTTCTTGTCAACAACATCCGCAAAATTTTATATGTACATATACAATCTGAAAAGGAACCTGGACACAATTTTGGATTGATCCACCCTACACACGCAACTAGCCTATTGTTTATGGTTGATCCGTTCCCAAATCGAATTCATTCCGATTGGGTTTTCGAAGTGAGCAGATTTGTTTGGCGCGAGCGGAGTACGCAAATAACGAATGTGTGGATCATGATGTGAGCGAAATTGGGTTGGGGAAAAATTGAGGGGGGGGAACCACACTAAACCACTCCATTTTCGTCCGCCCAACGTCGTTTTGTTTTCCCCGCGTGAACCGTTGAGAAAACTAGTAGATTCTTGGGCCAAGGGATAATCTTTGAAGATTTTACACCTTTTTTCTTGTGATGTCTCATACATTACGCGCATGCAAAAAGAACATCAGCAGTTGTAACTTTGAAGAAATTGCCCCCCGGTTTTCACCCGATTGCCAAACGAGTTAAAAGAACCGCAAGTGAGTGTACGCGTTACTTCTTATCAGTAACGTTATCGAGTCCCATGTTGAATACTGTCGGAAAAAACCCTCAACCTTGGAGGTTGAGTGTGAAGAGCTCGCCAGTCTTCGCCGCTTGAGCACGCAAAAATACTGGGGCCTCTGCGACTCTGCGGCCTTCTGTAACCGGGCTTGCACCACACGCAACCAAATTTCGCCGAACCGCATGGTCTACAAATTCCGTAAACTCACAGCCCATTTCAAATTGTTCCCTCCAATTCTCCCCGTTGTCGAACAGAGCCCACGAGTTTGACTGACCTGCCAGATTTCAGCGTCTTCAGAAGTTGACTTGTCCTGACAACCAGGAACCGTTACCAGGAAAATAATTCATGTCGTTGCCATTTCCCTCCATTTCCTCGCATTCAATCTGCGTATGACAATAACAACGCACGAAACCCTGCAAAAACGGTAATGGCTGCACTAGGGTTCCACTCGAGGGCGCCTTCGAACAGGGTGCTTATCCACCAGCCGCAGCAGCAACAGCAGCAGCAGCAACAAGTCCAAGAGCCGGTCACCCTACTATCAGCGGAAACCATATTTGAAACAGCATCCGCATTGGAAACAGAAACGAATGTAGAAACAGATACGGCAGGAGTACCTCGACTGACTAGATCGGTCTCGTTTCCAAGCATTCGCACATTCCGTTTGGAGCAATGGCCCTCTGCTTCCACCGAGAATCATGTAGACTCTCATCAGTATCATCATCAGCAGCAGCAGCAGCAGCAGCAGCAGGAGGAGCAGCAGCAGCAGCAGGAGCAGCAGCAGCAGCAGCAGCAGCAGCAGGAGCAGCAGCAGCAGGAGCAGCAGCAGCAGGAGCAGCAGGAGCAGCAGCAGCAGGAGCAGCAGCACACAACAGCAGATTCTCCTGATGTCGAAACGGAATTGCTGCGGCCCCTTTCCCCAGCCTCCCCGCACTCATTTCCTGGAAACAGCTCATCCGAAAATTGACTGGTCCCGAAAGTAACTTTTTCAGGGCCGAAAACTAACTCTTGAACAAGTTACTGGAGAACTGGCTTTTTTGCACGCGACTGACTCAAGGTCGCAGGCTGCGTTTCCCCAAACTATTGGGAACCAATCGAAGGTAACTCGGAATAGTCTCGGCAAAGCTTCTGATTCGTGTAATTTTCCCGCCTATTCAAACACCAAGTACTATTTATCCGCGTGTGCTTTTCCGATTGGCTGTCAACATACAGGTGCATTTGATAATCGTAATACACTAATGCTGTCGAAGCTGTTTTTCGATGACGATACAGATTGCGCCCTGTTTGTGATTATATCGATTCGAATACTTCTTTTGATATTTACTTGTACATGAAGTGTACCGCTGACCAATGGTTGTGATATGTACAGTAATAAAATATACTTCAATTATTTGGTTTTTCGTGTAAATGATCCTGCATTGCAAAACTAGATTCTCTACAAATATATTTACATCTAATATGAGAATCGGTAGGACTGTTAAACAAAAAAAATATACAGTCATGATCCAGAGTGTACTCTGCATGAAGTACAGTCTAAAGTATAATACCATACCAACATTGTATCAGGCTGAGTATATCTGCACTAACAAACAAAACATAAAAACAAGCCTAATTAAGGATACAATGTCGAATTTTCCTAATAACCTTGCACGCTGTCATGTCACTTCGTTACTCTGCAGGCTGCATCAGAACATAACATAAGCATAGTGAGAAAATTATGATAAAAGGATGTAGCGGATTGTATGCATCAAAATAGCACTTACTGTGTGGAAGCTCTCAAAGTAACTAGGCAAGAATGAATGAACTAGCAGAAGTTTGGGTACAAATGTGAAACCCTAGTTGGGGTTGTACCCCATATTGGCTACCCCACTACAGCCTACAAGCATAATACAGTTTAACACACCCCCATAGGCAAAGTGGGGGAGAACAAAGGGTCACAAGACCAGTCCAGCAAAGCAAAGCAAAGCCCAGGGTGGATCACAACGTCACCACGCTCCGAGCACAAGTAAAGGCCACAAGGCCAGTTCACATGCAGTGCTAGATATAGTACAAGACAAACAACACAGTGATCAAAACCTAGCAAGCAAGTAACAAGATATATATAAAGTACAGTACAAAGAATGTCAAGCAGTGAGCAAGTGAGGAAACGTGGACACAAGGCCTAAAGAAGTACAGTGCCGCTGATGATCACTAGGCGGGAGCGCCTTGGTGAAGATATCAGCAGTGTTGGCCTTCGAGTCCACGTACACAAGCCGAAGCTGACCGCGCTGCTGAAGCTCTCGAGCAAGAAAGTAGCGAAGAGCAATGTGCTTCGTCCTGTGCTCCAGTCTGTGCTCCTGACACAAGGCAAGAGCCGCCTTGTTGTCACCGTACAGAACTGGAGGAGAACTAGGCCGCTCTCCCAAGTCAGTCAGCAGGTAGGTGAGCCAGCGTAACTCCTGTGCAGCCATGGCTGTGGCGTAGATCTCAGCCTCACAACTAGAGCCGAGAACAGAGGAAGAGCGGGTGGACCGCCACGAGACAGAACCTGAGCCAAGGCTGAAGGTGTAACCCTGTGACGACCGCTGCGTAGCCAGGTCGTCCACCCAAGAAGCGTCCGAGTGGCCAGTGAGGACAACTCTGTCGCGTCCTCCAAGCACCAGCCCCATGCCTGATGTACTGCACAAGTAGCGCAACACCCTCTTAGCAGCCTCCCAGTGCTCTCGCCTGTGTCTCCCAGACGCAACGTAACGAGCAAGGATGCTAAGAGGGTACGCGAGGTCAGGTCGCGTGCAAGTCATCAGGTACATGAGGCAGCCCACAAGCTCTGGGTACGGGCCACTCGGCTCTACGGACTCGTCCGGAGGTGGAGCTGAGAGCGAGTGGCTGGTAGCCAGAGGTGTGGCCTGTGAAGAGGAGAACTGGAAGCCGAAGGGCTGAAGGACCTGCTGCACCATGTGTGACTGAGTCAGGGTGATGGTGCGGCGAGCTCTGTCCCGGGTGATCTGCAAGCCAAGGTAGCTATGCAGCTCACCCAGGTCAGTGCAGGTGTGTCTCTTCTGCAGCTCCGACTTCACACGAGCGAGTGCCTCAGTGTCAGCAGTAGCAAAGACCAAGTCGTCGACGTACACGAGAATGTAGAACGGCGGCAGCGACGTGTCTGTGCGCAGAAACAGCGACGGGTCAGCAGTAGACGGCGCGAACCCAAGAGCCGCAAGTGTAGTCCTCAGTGTGTCGTGCCACTCGCGTGGCGCCTGGCAGAGACCGTAGACTGGCCGGCGGAGGCTCCACTGGGTACCAGGAGGAAACGACCCAGTAAAGCCAGGTGGGCGGCGCAGTCAGATCTCCTCGTGCAGGCTGCCCTGCAGGAACGCTGTGCTGAAGTCAAGAGAGTGAAGCTCGTAGTCACGCTGAGCAGCAACGTGCAGCAGAACCCGAAGAGTGGTCATCTTCGGGGTGGGGGAGAAGGTCTGGAAGAAGTCGACCCCCTGACGCTGACTGAAGCCTCTAGCAACGTAACGAGCCTTGAAGACAGGCGGAGAACCTGGCGGCCGCTTCACCCTGAAAATCCACATGCCATCGACGATGTTCGCCCCAGGAGGGGGAACCTCGTCGACGTAGGTGCCTGTGGACTTCCAGGATGCCATCTCTGCGTCCATGGCTATCTGCCACTGAGAGGAGTAGGGACCCGAGATCGCCTCTGCGTAAGTGCGCGGAGTGGGGATGTCTAGTGCATCCGGGTCTCCCTCAGGGGCAAGCAACGAGGCCACGAGATGAGGTACAGCAGCCGCGAGAGAGTCAAAGTCCTCCTGCCTGTCCTCAAGGACGTCCGTGCCAAGAGCACACTCACCCCCGACGGACGGAGGACAGACAGACGCAGACTCAGACCCAGCAACAAGGCGAGCAGCGTAGTCTAGACGACAGGCAGCAGCAAAGTCAACCAACTCAGCGACCAGAGCAGACGCAGCCGAGGACTCAAAGGTAGGGTCAGTGACAACAGTAGCTAGGAGACGCGTGACAGTAGGGTGCTCAGCACGATACCGGTCAGACTCAGGGTCCGGAACAGCAGGCAAAGAGGACGCAGGAGGAGACGGCAGAGGGACACGCTGAGGAGCAGTAGAGGGACGCAGAGTCATGTAGTGAGTGCCTGGGACAGGAGGAGGACGCTCACGACGGACACGACGACCAGTGCGAGCAGTACGGACAGGCGACGCAGGACGAGACTCAGGCTCACGACGCTCTGCAAGACCTCCTGTGGGACCAGTGTAAGGAGAGGGAGCAGGGAGAGGCGAGGTAGGCGGTAACTGTGACTGCGGCTGGACAGGCGGAGGACACTCGACGGAGGGAGGAGGACAAGGAGGAGGAGCCTGCCCAAGAACCTGCTGAAGGAGCGGTACGAAGTACGGTCGCGGCCGCGCAGCGTCTCCAGAAGCAGAAGAGACTCCAGCGGCCGGGTCCTCAGTACCAGCAGGAGCTCCAACGTCCGGGTCCCCAGCACCAGCAGCAGCGCCACCGCTCGGGTCCTCAGCTCCAGCAGCAGCTCCACCAGGTGGGTCCGCAGCACCAGCAGCAGCGCCACCCCCAGGGTCCGCAGCACCGCTAGGAAGAGTACCCCCAGAGGCGGCAGCTCCAACTCCGCTAGCACCGCCAGCGCCAGAGTCCCCAGCTCCAGCAGCTCCAGTCGTAGTGCTCCCAGAACAACCAGTCCCGGCAGCTCCAGTACCCCCAGGACGAGCAGCTCCAGCACCCCAAACTCCAGCCGAGCCACGAGGACGGCGGAAGCGCCGGACGTACCAGTCACGAAGCTGCTGCGGTGTGAGAGACTGCTCAGCACCCCGAACCGGAGCACCCCTAGACGCAGCAACCCGAGGCTCCGTAGGCTCAGCAGCAGCACCCCCAGGCTCAGTACCCGCAGGCTCAGCACCCCCAGACTCAGCACCCCCAGACTCCGCACACGCAGGCTCAGCACCCTCAGTCGCAGCACCCCCAGGCTCAGCACCCCCAGGCGGCAAACTCTCAGGCACAGTACCCTCAGCTCCAGCACCCGCAGTCCCAGCACTCCCAGGCCCAGCACCCGCAGGCTCAGCACCCCCAGGCTCAGCACTCCCAGCAGTACCACCTGCAGCAGCACCTGAGTCACCTGTGACCTCGACAGGCTCAGCGACGGGAGGAGGGTCTACCTGAGAGACACCTGAAGGAGCAGGACCCTGAGGGGGAAGGGGGTCTACCGGAGGGGGGCCAGGAGCAAGGAAAAGCGGTGGGGGAGGGAGGGGGGCAGTGCGGTAGGGGAAGAGACGGTAAAAAGGGACCGACTCGTCAAAGGTGACATCCTGAGAGGCGAAGACCCGGCGCGAGGTGGGGTGGTAAAACTGCCAGCCAGGCGCGTCAGGGACAAAGCCAAGGAAGACACAGGGAAGCGTGCGGGAGGAGAGCTTGTCCGCGGACGTATCGCGGACAAGGGCACGAGCACCCCACACCCGGAAGCGCGACGCATCGCCAACCTCCCCTGTCCAACGCAGTGTGGGCGAGGTCTCCGGCAAGGAGACACGGGGCCAGAGGTTGAGCTGATGCGCTGCGTACCGGACAGCAAACGGCCACAGAAAATGGGGAGCCGCCGCGTGGACCAAGGAGGTACGAGCGACCTCCATGACCAGGCCAATGCGGCGCTCAGCAACCCCATTCTGCTGTGGGGAGTCCGGAAGCGTGAAGGTCTGCTCAATGCCCTCCGCCTGACAGAAGGTCCTCAAGAGATCGGAGGAGAACTCACCACCTCTGTCAGAGTGCAGACGCAGGACAGGAAGATCCGTCCGGAAACGGCGGCGGAGCTAGAGACGAACTGTGCGGATCCAAGGGATCAGAACAGCAGGGACCTCACCCTTGGTGCGCAAGAGGAAGACCGTGGTGTAACGCGAGTAGTCGTCGACAACCAGCAAAAAATACCGCTCACCGCCCTGACCACGAACGCGGGCTGGGCCCCACACGTCCAGGTGGAGGGTCTGCAGAGGAGCCTCTGTCGGGGGGAACGAGGAGGAGTGAGGAGCGGCGCGCTGCCGCCCCTCGACACAAGGAAGGCAAGGCGGCGCAGGCGAGGCAGGGAGGGGAGGGAGGGACCTGGGAAGACCAGACACAAGGTGGCGACGGTGCATGCCACGAAGGCGTGGCAAGGAGGGGTGACCCAGGCGGTGGTGCCAGAGAAGAGTCTGGTGCGACAGGGAACGACACTCACAGGCGTGGGCTACCAGACCTGACGCAGACACCTGACCGACAGCAGCGACCTGAGGAGACGCAGTGGTCAGTGTGTAGAGACTCGACCCCGGCCGACGGGTAAACGTAGCCAGGTGACGGCCGGTCCTGGAGCACGTGCAGATCGCCACACGCTGTCCTCCAGGGGTAAAGGTGTCAACCCACTGATCCTGGATGACAGCGTTGCTCACCAGGTTCGTCGAGAATGAGGGGAGGTGGAAACCCGTCAACGAGCCAGACGGAACCGCCGGACAAGGGAGCACAGTGGTGGACTGGGCAAGGACTGGGCCCCCAGAGGGGTCAGCCAAGGAGACTGGGACCGGTGCAGGAAGCGGTGTGAGCTCAGTACTGTCACGAAAGAAACAGCGGGAAGCACCTGAGTCAAGGGTGAAGGTGTGACAGGCCTCAGCCGGTGCGGTACCTGAGAGAGCAGTCTCTGTGGGTGCTGTACCTGAGAGAGCAGACTCGCAAACAGCCGGGACAGCACTGGAGGGAGCAGGTACAGGGGGCACCATACCAGAGAGAGCAGACTCACTAGCACCTAGGGCAGCGGGCTCTATACCTGGGTCAGGCGGCACACACAAGTAACAGTCTCCCTCGGCACTAACAGTCAATGCATACATGGCAGCAATAATAGCATCATAGTCAAGAGCAAAGATATCAACACCAGCCCTCATCAGCTCAGCCCAGCGAGGGCGCTCAACATCCTCGCCCATCTCCTCACGCCAAGCGTCGTCAAGGCGGAAGAAGCAGCGGTACTGAGTGTGGAACTTTCCACACGTCTGCCCCTTGCGATCACCTGTGCGAATGACATAGGAACAGCGGCCACTGCCCCCCGACGTCCCACGCTGAGCAAGCCACTCACGAAGCTGCTGGGTCGACTGGGGACGCTGCTGCTGCTGGGAGCTCTGGCCCGAGCCGGTGCCTCCACTCCGACCTCCACCGCCGCCACTACCTCCGCTCCGACCGCCACCACCGCCACCGCCACCGCCACTACCGCCACCGCCGCCGTTGCCACCACCGCCACTGCTCCCGCCGCCGCCCCCGCCTCCGCCGCCGGCCCCACTCCCACCGGCACTCCCGCCACCGCTCCCTCCAGCACCGCCTCCCCCCCCACCTCCCCCACCCCCTCCCCCCCCAGCGCCACCCCCGCCACCCTTGCCCCCCTTGCCCTTGCCGGTGCGGCGCCTCCCACTAGGAGCAGAAGCAGCGCCAGCAGACTCAGCACCAAGGAAGTCAACAGCAGCAGCAGTAGCATAGGAGGGAGCGAGGGGAGAGGGAGAGCACCCCTCAAAGATGGGGGTGCGAGGAGCGCCGCGAGCAGCACCAACAGCCACAATGCTCTTCTCGGCTGCTAGCAGCTTCTCCTCTAGGAGGGCGACAGTGAGCTCAGTGGGACAGCGAGCAAGGAAATAGTCGCGCACTGAGCTGAGGGTGTCAGGGAGACGGGTGACTATGAAGTGGAGTGTCCAGTACAGGGGAGGGGGGTTCTTAGCGCAGAACTCGGTGGGAAGGGCGGCACGCAGGCGAGCATCACTAGTGCGAAGGTGGGTGATAAGATCGGCGACTGTAGCAAAGGTGGACAGGTCAGGGAACAGGTAAGGCAGCATGAGACGGCTAAGCTCGGCTGTGGCAGGTGAGGAGTAGCGAGCAACGACAGCGTCATATAGGGCCTTAGCGGTTTTGCAGTCGCCAAAGTGCTCTAGCTCAGCTAACGGCAGGTGACTGCGAATAGCCAGGCGAGCTGCAGCGTCACGAGTCTGCCACTGTGAACGTACACTAAGCTCGGCTGTGGCAGCAGGAGCAGCGGCAGCACCAGACGCGTAGTCATAGAGGGAGATGTGGTCCGTGCTATTGCTCATAAGATACAACTGCAGGTCATCGAGCCAGGAAGTGAACTGCACGGGACGGCCCTCAGCATCGAAGGAAAGAACGCGAATAGAGGCCATAGCTCAGGCGTGAGGGCACAGCAGAGCAGCGGCAGCAGCAGAGGGGACGCGCTAGAGCGAAGCTAGCAGCCACAGCAGGAGCAAGCGGCGGTGCACAGTCAGGGAGCAGCAGGCGAGGCGGGCGGCGCTGCAGGCGGGAATTGTGGCGGGCGGGCTGCGAAGCGGGCAGCGGGACGGGCGGGCGACGCGGCGAGTGGGCAGCGCGGCGGGCGGCTGCGAAGCGGGCAGCGGGCGGGCGGGCGACGCTGCAAGCGGGCAGCGGGCGGGCGGGCGACGCTGCAAGCGGGCAGCGAGGCGGGAGGGCGACGTTGCGAGCGGGCAGCAGGCGGGCGGGCGACGCTGCGAGCGGGCAGCGAGCGAGCGGGCGACGCTGCGAAGCGGGCAGCGGGCGGGCGGGCGACGCTGCGAAGCAGGTAGCGGGCGGGCGGGCGGCGCTGCGAGCGGGCAGCGAAGCGGGCGGGCCGCGAAGCGGGCAGCGAGCGGGCGGGCGGGCCGCGAAGCGGGCAGCGGGGCGAGCGGGCTGCGAAGCGGGCGGGCCGCGAAGCGAGCAGCGAGCGGGCGGGCGGGCCGCGAAGCGGGCAGCGGGGCGAGCGGGCTGCGAAGCGGGCAGCGGGGCGAGCGGGCGACGCTGCGAGCAGGCAGCGCGGCGGGCGGGCGACTCTGCGAGGGGCGCGCGAGGGCGCTAGCGAGGGGCGCGCGAGGGCGCTAGCAAGGGGCGCGCGAGGGCGCTAACGAGGGGCGCGTGAGGGCGCTAACGAGGGTGCGCGAGGGCGCTAACGAGGGGCGCGCGAGGGCGCTAACGAGGGGCGCGCGAGGGCGCTAACGAGGGCGCACGAGGGCGCTACGAGGCTAGGGCACGGGGTAGCGTGGTAACCGCATGCGAGCGGTGGTGGGCCCTAAAAAAAAAACGGTCGGTAGGTCCTAGGGACCTCCTGCTCTGATACCATCTCAAAGTAACTAGGCAAGAATGAATGAACTAGCAGAAGTTTGGGTACAAATGTGAAACCCTAGTTGGGGTTGTACCCCATATTGGCTACCCCACTACAGCCTACAAGCATAATACAGTTTAACAGAAGCAACTAGCCCGCCTAGATGCACCACTACCCGCATATACGACCTGGAGAGACGAGTGTCAATGAGACAGATTGGGAAAGGGGCAATAAGAGCTCTGCTGGTGAGAAAAGGCTGGTGTGTTGGGAGAGCGTAGAGAACGGAAAGGACAGAGGAACGGGGAGAGGGTGCAGCAAGCATAGAGAGAGCCCCTTCAACTCCCTTCCCTCCCTTCCCTCCCTTCCCTCCCTCCCCACTATCCCCCACCCCCACCCCCCCCCCTCCCCTTCCCTCCCCTCATTCTCATGCCTTCCCGGTAGCCCCCAGCTCACCTCGGGTTGAACCAGCGTAGGTCGAACACCGGCGCGCCCGGCGCCACCCGAGCGGACCGCAGCGTCTCCAGCTCGTCCGCCGCCACCACCGACTGCCGCTGCTGAAGCCACTCGTCGAGTGCACGGGAGCGAGCGAGCGCACGCGCGGGAGGTGCACGGTAGCGAGCGAGCGCGCACGCGCAAGGTGGCACTGGAGCGAGCGAGCGAGTGCGCGCGAGGTGAAATTGACCGACGGCACCACCTAGTGCTCTCTGCGAACAGTAGGAATGAGGGGGATTGGGAAAGAGGAACGCGGGAAAACAGGGACGTAGGAATAGGGGAGGGAAAAACGGGGATGAGAAGGAACAAAGAAGGAATGAGAGAAGGCGGGGACGCAGGAAAAAAACTTCGTGGGAAGCAAATGCAACTTCGTGCAACGACAAACTCTGAGAGGTCACCTTAGGGCGCGACAACCAGCGCCGCTACACCTCACAAGTTCCGTACGCGGCGGCAGTAGATCCGCACGCAATGGCGGCGGAAGTTCCCCATGCTGTAACGGAAGTGCCCCGCTTGCCGCGTGGGGTGCACTGATGCGATCGAGCAATCGGTCGATCGAGTGCGATTCCCCCGTAATAATTGCTCTCTGCCTGCAAAAACAAGGAACGTCCAGAAAAACAAAAACAAAAACTACAAGAAACTTCTCGTACACACATACAAGAAACCTCGAACACAAAAGGACCCGACGACGACGTTACGAGCAGCGCGACAACCAGCGCAGCTACGCCTTGCACGTGGGGATCGACGAGATCGGCACGATTCTGTGGCGGGGTGGATACTAACGAGGGAAATGGCTAAGGCAGAGAGGAGAAACGAGCGCATTGAGAATTTCGAAGCTCTCAAACGCACTCAAATATACATACACTCGTGTGTGGGTGAGAGAGGCTCGTTTGGGGGGGAAGGGGGGGGGGGGGGGGAATCGAGATGAAAGAGACGTGGGGGTGGCTGTAAATCGGGATGGTCAAGATTAAACAGTTGAGATATTATTGTGGCAGATCGACGGTTCAAAATTCAAGTGACACAACATCACTAGAGCTGGGGCGTGATTTTGTTTGGCGGAAATTGCTGAGTCAACGCGATGAACCCGGAGAACCGTCGATAACTCAGAAGTGCGCTACCAAACTAAGGGCATCCATCTCGCCAGCATTATGCAATACAACCTAGTCAAACAGTCCAGAAAACACAATAATATCACTTAAATCTGCTTTAGCACATGACATAAACAATAATATCACACAATAATATCACTTAAATATGCTTTAGCACATGACATAAGCATTTTATGAAGCTGTTGAAGAATCCTAAACAAGGACAGCTCTTATTAACATTTTCCAAAGTATATGGGTATTTGATTCCACACAGTAGGTTCCACAGGCGTGTTTACAAGGCTTCATGCGTTGTTAAACGTCGTCATAGTACTACTACAACTATTACTACTACTACTAATACTACTACTACTACTACTACTACTACTACTACTACTACTACTACTACTACTACTACTACTACTACTACTACTACTACTACTACTACTACTACTACTACTACTACTACTACTACTACTACTACTACTACTACTACTACTACTACTACTACTACTACTACTACTACTACTACTACTACTACTACTACTACTACTACTACTACTACTACTACTACTACTACTACTACTACTACTACTACTACTACTACTACTACTACTACTACTACTACTACTACTACTACTACTACTACTACTACTACTACTACTACTACTACTACTACTACTACTACTACTACTACTACTACTACTACAACAACTACTACTACTACTACTACTACTACTACTACTACTACTACTACTACTACTACTACTACTACTACTACTACTACTACTACTACTACTACTACTACTACTACTACTACTACTACTACTACTACTACTACTACTACTACTGCTGCTGCTGCTGCTGCTGCTGCTGCTGCTGCTGCTGCTACTACTACTACTATCACCACTACTACTACTACTGTAATTCGAGGACGACGACTGCTACTACAGGAACAACAACGACAATAACTACGACGAAGACGACGACAATGACAACTGTTTTGGCTAATACTGGTAACAAAGGCATCCAGACGTTGGCGCAGTAACGTGTTGCGCACACGCCTATCCTTGCACGGATTCAGGCCAGCAAACACACAAACATGCACCACGAGCTGCGTAGTTGTGCTAACGAGATGAAATCAGTTCCTATGGCTAGGTAATAGGATGTAGTAGAGAACTGTGTGAAGAAATAGTGGTGAAAGAGGCATCCAAACGCTGGCGTAGTGACATGTTGCGCACAGGCCTATCCTCGCACAGATTCAGGCCAGCAAACGCACAAACATGCGCCACGAGCTGCGTAGTTGTGCTAACGAGATGAAATCAGTTCCTATGGCTAGGTAATATGATGCAGTAGAGAACTGTGTGAAGAAATAGTGGTAAAAAAGGCATCCAGATGTTGGCACAGTGACATGTTGCGCGCAGGCCTATCCTTGCACAGATTCAGGCCAGCAAACGCACAAACAAGCGTCACGTGCTGCATAGTTGGGCGAACGAGATCAAATCAGTTCCTATAGCAAGGGAATAGGACGTGTTACCTGAATGTGTGAATAAATGGTGCTAAAAACAACATCTAAACGTTGAAACGGTGACATGTTGCGCGCAGACCTATCCTTGCACAGATTCAGGCCAGCAAACGCACAAACAAGCGTCACGTGCTGCGTAGTTGGGCAGACGAGATCAAATCAGTTCCTATAGCAAGGGAATAGGACATGCTACCTGAATGTGTGAATAAAAGGTGCTAAGAACAACATCAAAACGTTGAAACGGTGACATGTTGCGCGCAGGCCTATCCTTGCCCAGATTGAGGCCAGCAAACGCACAAACAAGCGTCACGTGCTGCGTAGTTGGGCGAACGAGATCAATCAGTTCCTATAGCAAGGGAATGTGTGAATAAATGGTGCTAAAAGCTTCATCTAAACGTTGAAATGGTGACATGATGCATACATGTCTGTCCTTGCACAAATTCAGGCCAACAAACGCACAAACAAGCGTCACCTGTTGCGTAGTAGTGCGACTGAGCTCAAACCAGTTCCTATGGCAAGGTAATATGATATACTACCTGAATTTGCAAAGAAAAGGTTCTAAAAATAACATCTAAATGTCGAAACGGTAAAATGTTGCGCACAGGCCTATGCTTACATAGATTCAGGCCAGCAGACGCAACAACAAGCGTCACGTGATGCCTATTTTGGCAAACGAGGTCAAACAAGTTCCTATAGCAAGGTAATAGGATGCGATACTTGAATGTGTGAAGAATTAGTGCCAAAAACAACATCCAAACGTTGAAACGGTAACATGTTGCGCACATGCCTATCCTTGCACAGATTCAGGCCAGCAAACGCACAAACAAGCGTCACATGCTGCCTATATTGGTGAACGAGGTCAAACAAGTTCCTATAGCAAGGTTATAGGATGCAATAATTGAATGTGTGAAGAAATAGTGCCAAAAACAACATCCAAACATTGAAACGGAAACATGTTGCGCACAGGCCTATTCTTGCATAGATTCGGGCCAGCAAACGCACAAACAAGCGTCACGTGCTGCCTATTTTGGCGAACGAGGTCAAACAAGTTCCTATAGCAAGGTAATGGGATGCACTACTTGAATGTGGGAAGAAATATTGCCAAAGATGTCAAAATGCTAGGCCAAAACGAGAAACAGGCAAGAAGGGTTTTGACTAACAAGCATAGGGATACATATATGCAAACCCTAGAAGGGCTGTACTCGCTATAGAGTACCCCACTGCAGGCTAGACAACCATCACATTCTGACAAAAAACAACAACCAAACGTTGAAACGGTAACATGTTGCGCACAGGCCTATCCTTGCATAGATTCGGGCCAGCAAACGCACAAACAAGCGTCACGTGCTGCCTATTTTGGCGAACGAGGTCAAACAAGTTCCTATAGCAAGGTAATGGGATGCACTACTTGAATGTGGGAAGAAATATTGCCAAAAACAACATCCAAACGTTGAAACGGTAACATGTTGCGCACAGGCCTATCCTTGCATAGATTCGGGCCAGCAAACGCACAAACAAGCGTCACGTGCTGCATATTTTGGCGAACGAGGTCAAACAAGTTCCTATAGCAAGGTAATGGGATGCACTACTTGAATGTGGGAAGAAATATTGCCAAAAACAACATCCAAACGTTGAAACGGTAACATGTTGCGCACAGGCCTATCCTTGCATAGATTCGGGCCAGCAAACGCACAAACAAGCGTCACGTGCTACCTATTTTGGCGAACGAGGTCAAACAAGTTCCTTTACCAAGGTAATGGGATGCACTACTTGAATGTGTGAAGAAATAGTGCCAAAAACAACATCCAAACGTTGAAACGGTAACATGTTGCGCACAGGCCTATCCTTGCATAGATTCGGGCCAGCAAACACACAAACAAGCGTCACGTGCTGCATATTTTGGCGAACAAGCTCAAACCAGTTCCTACAGCAAGGTAGTAGGACGCAGTACTTGAATACGTGAAGAAATAGTGCTAAAAACAAATCCAAACGTTGAAACGGTAACATGTTGCGCAGAGGCCTAACCTTGCATAGATTTGTCTGAGGTCCACTGGGGATCCCCGATGATCCTAGGGAAGGGTTACAGGCACGTCGGCCTGGGGGGTTATGGGCGCACTCACCCGCTATATAAACAAGCCCTTTTATCCCAGTGGTTAGTGGCTGGGATTCTGACATGGTATCAGAGCGAAGATCTCGGGTTCGAATCCCGGTGTGTGCACCTCGGGCATCCCAGTGCGGGGGGGTGTCAGAGGTCCACTGGTGATCCCCGATTGATCCTAGGGAAGGGTTACAGGCACGTTGGCCTGGGGGGTTATGGGCGCACTCACCCGCTACACAAACAAGCCCTTTTATCCCAGTGGTTAGTGACTGGGATTCTGACAAGATTCGGGCCTCAAACTTACAAACAAGCATCACATGCTGCGT